TGCATGGAGCACTGGGTGTTATATGAAAACAATGGATCGTGGATCACTACATCAAAAACTAATGATGTATTGTATGGTGACTAACATAATAAAATTAAAAAAAAAAAAAAGATATTTACAGTTGAAACTGCCCAAAAAAAAAGAATCCCCTCTTCTTATAGAAGGAAATGAGGAACAAGTTACTTCCTTCTGTAAAGATAGCTGCTGGCAACCCCAGCTTCTTGTAACAAGTAAACATTTGTTATTTTGGAGAGTGGGTGCATTTCTAGGCATGCATGGAAATATTTTTTTTTTTTTTTTAAAGATTTTATTTATTTATTTGAGAGAGAGAATGAGACAGAGAGAGAGAGCATGAGATGGGGGAGGATCAGAGGGAGAAGCAGACTCCCTGCCGAGCAGGAAGCCCAATGCGGGACTCGATCCCGGGACTCCAGGATCATGACCTGAGCCGAAGGCAGTCGCTTAACCAACTGAGCCACCCAGGTACCCGGCATGCATGGAAATATTGAGAAATATCCTGTCTATTTAAAACTAATGTTTTGTTTCCAGGGAAATCTTCCTCCAGGATATAAGATCACCCTAATCGATATAGGACTTGTTATTGAATATCTTATGGGAGGAACCTATAGATGCACCTACACTCGGAAACGTTTTCGATTAATATATAATAGTCTTGGTGGAAATAATCGGGTATGTAATATTTTTGGGGAAGACTATATATGTCTTTTGTATTGTACACTTTATAAGTTAAGAATTCATAAAAACTCATATACTTTAAAAGTTTAAAATTACTTATTTTTTATATTAGAATAGTGAAAGTAGCATTGTCTTAAAAATACAATATTTTCATCTGTAAGAGTATATAGAGATATTTTGTAATTGAAATCCAAAACAAATCATTATTTTCTGTGTGTGTACAAACACATTTGTACGTATGTATGAATTCTTGAATTTTTATGACTTATCAGTGTATTTAAATCTGTAAAAACTAATAAGCTTTCATTTTCAGAGGTCTGGCCGAAATACCTCCAGCAGCACTCCTCAGCTGCGCAAGAGTCATGAATCTTTTGGCAATAGGGCAGATAAAAAGGAAAAAATGAGGCACAATCATTTCATTAAAACAGCACAGCCCTATCGACCAAAGGTATGTTTCCATAAATTTTAACCTTTTCTGAATTTTGTTCTAATTTACTAGTATTTATGAAACAGAAAACTACTTGTTTTAGCAAGAATGAACTTTTGTTTGTAGACACATCTTTGATTTTTCATTTTCCCATATACAAATGAGTTAACGATTCTGTAAAGTTTTTTATATTTAGTTATGATAAAAATTTTTCAATGTTTTGATAAATACTAAACTGCCTCCTTCTATTCCACTGTAACTGATTAACAGCGTGCAAGATAAGTATTTTAGACACACTTTTCTTCCATTAAAGTTATGTTTTATCAGATATTAGTTGAAATATTTAAGTCCTTCCTTTAATTTTGGAAAACTTTTTATTACAATGATTTTTTTTTTTTTTTAGAAATACCATTTCTATAAAACCTGAGCTATAATAAAATAAAGTACGTAAAATTTATAAATTTATACCATTTTGATTTGTGCAGTCTATATGAAGTTGAAGAATAGTGTAGAGATTTTATAAAAATTCTCACATTAATGTCATATGGCCTTATTATAATCAATCTTAGACATTTGTTTTCCATTGAAGATTGATACAGCTGTGGAAGAAGGAAAGAAGAAGAGAGCCAAAGATGAAATTGTAGATATTGATGATCCAGAAACCAAGCGCTTTCCTTATCCACTTAATGAACTGTTAATTTGGGCTTGCCTTATGAAGAGACAGGTCATGGCCCGTTTTTTATGGCAGCATGGTGAAGAATCAATGGCTAAAGCATTAGTTGCCTGTAAGATCTATCGTTCAATGGCATATGAAGCAAAGCAGAGTGACCTTGTAGATGATACTTCAGAAGAATTGAAACAGTATTCTAAGTAAGTTATATTTTATCATTTCAAACATTTAAGAAATACAACAAGATCATGTTTAAGTGGAGGTTATAGTGTCATGCAATAAATCTGTATATATACGTATAATTTTATTGGCACAATTAAAATGTATTAGGTACTTTTATTTTTTTTATTGAGAGGGAGATAGAGAATCTTAAGCAGCCTCCTTTCTGGGGTGTCGACTTAGAGGGCGAGTCTCAGGCTTGATCTTCCAACCCTGAGATCATGACCTGAGCCAAAATCAGGAGTTGGTAGCTTAACTGACTGAGCCACCCAGGCACCCCAAAATGTATTAGGTACTTCTTAAAATTCAGAAGGAAACTTTCCTGTTTATGCACATAAAAAGAGGTTATTGTTTCCAACTCAAGAGTTAAATATTTTGGCAAGAAAGAAGAAATGCCAGAAGTCAGTTTAATAATTGCACATACTAGCAATTAATTAGATTAGGAAAAGTTCCATTTGGAGTGGTAAGGAGAAGAAAAAAATAAGGTTTTGAGCTGTGTTCTAAGGAAATGAATTGAATTCAACTGGAAGGGCATTTCAGAAGGTGGAACTACATACATGGAAGAGTAAAACAGTTCACAGAAGTTTACATTTAGGGTAATAATGACTATCAAGCTGGAAAGATAGTTTGTAGGAAACCTTATGATAGAAAATAGGACTTAGCTGTCCTAAAATGGGCTGTCTTTGGAAGAGAGTAAATGTTATTAGTGAAAATAAGCAGGGATCTTATGATCACTTACTCTGGGGATCTAAGATTCAGATGTTTTTCATGATTAGGTTAGTCCCTATTCACATTATTCTTTCTACTGGGTACCAAACCTTTTTTATGTTTTTTTTTTTTAAGATTTTATTTATTTATTTGAGAGAGAGACAGAGATAGCAATAGAGATAGCGAGAGAGAACACAAGTGGGAAAGAGAGGGAGAAGCAGGCTTCCCGCTGAGCAGGGAGCCCGATGACCTGGGAGCCCGATGACCCGGGGCTGGATCCCAGGACCCTGGGATCATGACCCGAACCTGAGGCAGATACTTAACCACCTGAGCCACCTGGGCACCCCTATGTTTGAAATATGATATAGGTAAGAGTTTTTGTACAGAGCAGCTGAACATTGTCAATTTGGGTTTCCTGTGAGACTGGAGTTTTATTTCCAAGACCAGTGGAAAATGCTCTGGAGTCACCTTCTCAGACTTGTTCTTCATGTGACATATTTTAATATTTTGTTATATCTGCTTAGTAATAGATATCTGGAAACAGCTGTTATGATTCTAATGCCTTATAATTCCCTGAGTGTGTGTTAAAATATTAAATATAAATGTTGTTATATTAAATATAAAATGTTATGAAATTATATAAGAATAGTGTCTTAAACTGCAGTTTGGTAATGTGAATGTTTTGGCCTTTATCTTTTGATAGTGATTTTGGTCAACTCGCAGTTGAATTACTAGAACAATCCTTCAGACAGGATGAAACCATGGCTATGAAATTGCTCACTTATGAACTGAAAAACTGGAGTAATTCCACCTGCCTCAAGTTAGCAGTTTCTTCAAGACTTAGACCTTTTGTAGCTCACACCTGTACACAAATGTTGTTATCTGATATGTGGATGGGAAGGCTGAATATGAGGAAAAATTCCTGGTACAAGGTATACCTTAGAAACAGTTATATCTAGTATGTGATTAGATAAAAAGAACAGAGGGATTAGCCCAGATATATAGTAAAATGCCTTGATTTATGAGGGTGGTGGGGCTGGCAGTGTTGGCATTTTATCTCAAGGGGCATGAAATGGCCTCTTCTTTCCTTCTGTTCTTCACTCTGAATCCTTTTCAGGTATGGTGTATAATTATTGCCCCTCTCTAAGCCAGAAGCATGAGGGCAACAAAGGAAGTATTGGTGTTTACAGCGTGAGCAGCAATGAAAAAAGTTCCTTCTTTATGAAAAGATGATTTCCAAATTCTAAAATTGAGAACCTGTCTACTAACTTAATAATTTGTTACTTTTTTCTTAAATAATTACATGAAGTATATTGGATATACCTAGTTTTTATGGTTAAGAATTTGGATAAAATGTTGGCTGATACTTTTGGTTTCATCATAGTGAGAGATACTACTTTAAACTTTCCTTTTCATTATCTTATATCTTAAATAAGGTACAGAGATGTAGAAGGCAGAAATCAGGCAAGTGGTTTAACCATTGTAAGTAGATAACAAATACTGATCATCTAATAATAATGGTGAAAGATTAACCAATAGAAACCCTGATACACAATTATAATTTTTTTGTGCTTTAGGATTGTGCAGGTAATAACGTAAAATTTTACAAATAAATCTGTTTATAGAGGCACAAGCTGAGTAATCATGTTACGACATGGAACAGTTGCAAAGAGTTTTAGGATAAAATTATGCACATAACAACTTCATAAGGCTTGAATTTTATTTAAACAAAAATGTATTTTCTGAACAAATAATTAGTAAATCTTTTCTGTATCCTCATATCATAGTACCCAAATGTTTTGTTACTCCTTAAAACAATTCAACCTGGGCCTCTTTAAATATAATAATCAAGTATAAAAATGAAGTTTCTGGTTTTTCCCCTATACTAACAGGGGCAGATTGGCTAACTAATAATCAAGATATTTAATACCTTTTTATTCTTTTTATTCTTGAAGGTAATTAATTTTAAAATATAAACTTACGTGTTTCTAAAATTTTTAGGTCATATTAAGCATTTTAGTTCCACCTGCCATATTAATGCTAGAATATAAAACAAAGGCTGAGATGTCTCATATTCCACAATCTCAAGATGCCCATCAAATGACAATGGAAGATAGTGAAAACAACTTTCAAAACATAGCAGAAGAGATTCCCATGGTAAGGAGGAAAAATATTTTTAAGTAAATATAAACATTTTGTGAATAAATAATATGATAAGTGTTATTTTTATTTTAGGAAGTGTTTAAAGAAGTAAGAATATTGGACAGTAATGAAGGAAAGAATGAAATGGAGATACAAATAAAATCAAAAAAACTTCCCATTACAAGAAAGTTTTATGCCTTTTATCATGCGCCAATTGTAAAATTCTGGTTTAATACGGTATGTTGTATGTTTTCTAAGTTGTATGAGCAGAATGTTTTTAAAGTATAAGCTTTAAGGTACCTTTGGTCTAAAGTCTGTATTTATCTTGATATAACTTAGATCACTGACAAGCCATTTTCCACTTAAAAGAGCATAAATTTAACTTAGTTTTATTCCATTTGCCATCATATAGAATGATAAATGCTAACAAATCTTAATTTTGATTGGAACTAGAAATAGACTAAACAAAAATGTAGTAACCATGTGTCTTTGTAAGCAGGTATCAAATACAAATCAGATCTACCAAAAACATTCCTAAAGATTAACCAGAATAGACATGGATATATCTTTGTGCTTTAGGATTTTGCAGAGAATGTGTAAAATTTTTGAAATGAACCTTTCTGCAGTGTTAATTTGAAGGTAAAAAGTAATCTAGATCATTCATACAGTTTATCAGTGCTTATTTCCTTAATCATATTATGGTATATGTTTTATTATCTGACACATAATTGGCTTTTCTCTTGCTTTGTGGAAGAACAGTTTTTTTCTCCCAGATCAAAGAGTATTATAGTCCATGGGGGATGGACTCACTTCAAGAAACAGATGAGATTAGCCTCAACTTTTTTTTAAAGATTTTTTTTTAA